ATTCAAAACAACACTTAAATATTACAAATGAATTAATAAAGTTAACGATGCATTTCCATTTGTAACAAAACTGCACAATGAAATATTTCCGATGAATCCAAAACAATCGTAGGATCCCGAATTTTAGTGTTATAAGCCATCAAGTTTATCGCTAAGCCACCTGTAATAAATTCTATATAATAACTAAAAGTATCATACTTTTTCAAATTCAATAATAGTGCAATAAAACAGTACAAAATGTAATGACTTGGGTTGTATTAATTTTCACAGACAGCAAGAACCTGGTATTTTATTCCAGATATTCCAAATTAAACAATGCTAATATAGTCATTGACTCCGCTTGAGAATCTGAATTTTTACTTTGCTGTGGCTAACCATGGCATTGTGTTTATTTGATTATTTGTTTATTTGGTTTTAGAACAGATACGACGTTTCGATCACTGGTGCAATCATTCTCAAGTACAAATGTTTTAACGGTGAAGAACGTTTTCGTATTTCATTCACAATTCGACAATCTAACAATGTATGAAATTATATAATTGATAGTGGTTACTTATTCATGTACATATCAATCTCCGTGAATTGACAGATTATTCATTTATGGATAAACAGGAAAAAATTGAATAAACACACAAAAAAAAAACATATTCTTCCCGTTTCATCTAAATAAAGTCACTCACAATGTGTCGTAATTTATTTGATATGCTATTCCAATAATTTCCTTTCGTTACACATAATACCATCCAACGATATTCTTTATTATTATTGGTGGTTTTTATGTAACTAACTATTCAAGATTAATGTTTTATTTTGTGATGAGGAGTTTATATATTTCTGCATAGCTGTCGCTGCCATGTTCAATAAATGGATAATAGTTGTGATAAAGTTTTGTTTCCTTTATGGTGTTTTTGTTTTGATTTAACTAGTTATTCTTTTTGACCTGTCCTTCGAAATGACCATTTTTATAAAGGTAAACCACAGATATTTTCCTGAATTCTTTGTTTAAGTTGTTGAAGGTACTTATGTGAAATACGACTTGAGTTAGAAATAAAACTTTCCAAGGTTTTGCTATGGATGGTATGCAGATTTCTCACCAACATATCATTCCAAGTGAATTGGTTTACCACAAAACCATACGTGGCAAGGACAGTTACTTTCCTAAAGATGCGAACATTATATTTATTCATCTTCAATGGCAAAGTGGACGTTATAGTGAATGCTGTTCATATGGTTTAAAAATATTTATTGTTTTTCAAACAATAATGTGACGCTCAATCCCACTATTCGTTGGTAAAAGAGTTGCCCAAGAGGTGGCGGTGGGTGGTGATGACTATCTGCCTTCCCTCTTGTCTTTCATTCCTAAAATAGGTACAGCTATCGCAGATAGCCCTCGTGTAGCTTTGCGCGAAATTCAAAACAGTCTGTTTACCAGATAATTGTATTGTGGAATTAAAAGCAAAACTTTGTTGTTAGGTCAAATAATGTCACTAAATTTAAAGATAATTCTTAGTTTACGATTACTGATGGTATTTTAAATAACTTGTTTGAATGCTTTTTTTTTCAAAGAATTTGTGTATTCAAATTTTGTATAATTGAAGCTTAGGAAATGTTCTAAATAATGAAGTTTATTTTATATTCAGTGAGCAGCTGTTCACACAGTCATTATTTATATTCTTGATATTCTACTTGAAAATCACTATTTAGTCTCAGTTTTAAACTTGAAGAAATTCATATAAGAACTGATGTCCAGTTAATATTTTTCACTCAACAGAACTTTTCTTACTCCCACTATCATATATAATTTTACAGGTACAAAAATTGTGATCATCTAGTCAACAAGAGATAGATGATTTGTAAATTATTTTTCTGTTTGTTTCAACTGTATTAACATAAAACATTCGAATACATTAGCCAGAGAAGGAAGGTTTATATTGCGATCAATTTGCAATGATGGTTTGTTTAAGGCGATGTTTTAGAGGCATATATTTTATTTGAAAAGGCTGTTTTTCTACTGGTAAAATTTTAATACACGCTAATTTCTTTGTCTAGATATATATTTGCCCATCGCCATGCATTATATATAGAGAATCTATTTACACAGACTCTATAAATGCTCACTATATTCTCAAACACATCTCCATGACAATCTCCAGCTGCAGTTTAATATTTTGCATCTCGACCTAATGCGATCAATTAATCAATAGCTGCAGTAAACAATCATGAACCTTATTAGCTATCTTTATTATCATTACAAAGTATAAAGTAAGCTACCATATCAAGTAATCCTTTGCCCATAATTGAGCACGAAAAAAACCAGCAAACAAACAAACTACTCAATCTACAACCCCCTATTTTGGCTTCATGGGATTCAAAAAGAGGGTTTTCTAGTTTGAGTGAATAATGTTTATAGTATATCCAGCCTTCTTTACTTACTTTTTTACGATTACTATTTGCAGATTTTTAAATTACCATTTTTTATTTATCTTTTGTATAATATATTAGCGTGTAATCTAAAAAGTAATCACAAAAAAACACTTCCCAAAGTGACCTCACATTCTTCATACAGCTTATCAAGATTTTAAGCATTTAACTCATTGTAAGATACTTTAAGTACATTAACATACTCTTTCAAAACCATCTAGGAATTTATAAGGTAAAAGTAAAATTAATGGAAAAAATGGAAGTGGTAACTGACGTACTGCTAATTAGCAAGATGATTGCTTTTACCCAGGGAATCACGTTTAATTATGATACCTTAAACAGTTAACATTCTTTTAATATGGTTGAAACATTGTCTATTTCTTTTTAAAGGCTTGAAGATTGCCAAGAACTATACATTAGAGTGTGCTCCTGACTTCCCGTGACGAACATCCCGTAAATACTTCTTCTTCGTTCATGAGATATATACATTTCCATGTTGTTAAACATAACTACTTGAATGTTTATTGAAACATTCCGTTTGCTTTAATCTTTTACAATAGGTGGTTTGTATTTAATTGTCCTATTATATTTCTAAGCTAGAATCTTTAGTATTTAACTGTACGCATGTTATTATCGTACTGTAACAACAAATTGAAACTTATTACGAGTTGTGAGGTGTAATTTTTGCTAATAAAATATTTTATCCGAGATTATCTCCTAATATTATTCGTTATAAGGTTTTAAATTATATGCCGATTGATTGAACGTCAATGCACTTTGTTGATGGAAACGTTAGCAAACATCGCTCACACACTTATAAAGGTAATATGTGTTGTGTAAAACTTCAATAATTTTTATTGTCACGCACTAGATGTGAAAGTAATCAAGTAACATAAGACGCAAATAAATTCTATAGATGGATGCAATTAAAAATATTGTTGTGATGAAAAATTTTCAACCTCTAGTTTCATTTATTTAGTAATTAACTGTTTTGCACAGAAAACACAATCAAAAACGCATTTCATTTTCTTCAGTCCTTGAAGAAATTAAGCCAGATAGCTAAAATAGCCGTTGTACAGGAAATTATCGTAGAAGAGGCACAACCTGCCAAAGCTTACATGTATGATTACTATAGATCAGGTGAGAAATAACCACAAATACTGTCTTACGTTTTAATTGCCCAATCACCATATTGCATCAGTCTGCTATATATATATAAAGTCTTTTACAATTTAGAACGGAAGGATGTCTTCTTAATATAGAATATCTTAGTGTCATAGTTTGTATAAAATAAATTTAGCGAGTTTTAAGTATGTTTCAACTTTTATGTTTTCAAATGTAATGGATGTTCCAAAATGTCAAAATCGAATTAATTTTTAAGACTGATTTTCTCAATAATGTACAACTTCAATTTGTTTTCGAAAATGTAGCATCTGCGAATCTTGGGAAGCTTTGAAAAAAGTTCGTATTAATTTTTCTTAATGTACTACACACGCACATAACATTTCACATACAAGTTACTAAATTCATCTGTGGGCCAAGCACTTTTCCTGTAAAAAATATGTAATGTTTGCATAGCATGACTCAAAAAAATCATACACCATTAAACCGGCGTACGTAGAGGACTAAATATGATAACCGAAGAATGCGCTACCCGTATTTAAAGCAATAAAAATTCCTCTGAATTTTCTTTTCTACAGGTCATCAGAATCTAGATATGAAGAGCTATTTGACATAGTCGCTCTATCTCCGGTTTATATGACGCTTTTCAGCTATCCAGAGCGTCCCAAAGTCGAAAACTGGCGAATAGCCAAAGCCGAATTTTTATATATTGGTTCATCCTCTTTCTTCAACAGGCCTAGCGACTACC